TAATGTTTATACTCAAAGGAAATAGAAAGGAAATGCCTTTCCTTTGTATAATTTAAGGTAAAAAACAGTATAATTTAGAAGTAAATTCAAAAAGTATAATTTAAGGTAAATAGCATAAATATTTGAAAAACATGTAAAATGTAATATTATGCATAAAAATGTAGACTTTAAAATTCATTTTGTTGTATTTTAATAAATTGGGCCCTGAAAGACATGGTGATTAAAATCACAACTATGTTATGGTAACATTTAGGATGAGAATACCAAGCCTGGGAAAGAATATGATTTAATTTAATCTTAACCACACAGTGACTTTTTACAGGGTTCAATTTTCATTAAATTTTTTAAGTAAGATCTTGAGGATCTGGAAAGTATTTAAGCAAATCAAATTAAATATTTTTTGGTACCAATAATGTATGATATACAATTTTCTACAAAAGAAGTATGATTTCTTGTTATTATAAAAATACGCTGATTCCACATAAAGTGTATCAAAATTTACTCCAGTATTATATTAGACTTTGTTTTATATAATAAAGTACCATCATCAGAAAACTTAATATATTGGAAATTTTGCATTCTTCTTCATGCAAATTGTTAAGAAAGCAAATTGCTCAATATCTACCATCTATCCATAACTGTAAATATTACAGAAGTGATTTGTACTCACAACAATGCTACTTATGTCTCTGTCTTCTGATCTTTGAATTATGCTTCTTAAAATATATTGCATCAGTCTTGAAGAATTATATGATGGCAAAGATCCTTGAAAGTGTATCTGATTCCTTCTGTTGGCTTCAGCTGGAAACGCATGAAAGTCATACTAGATGGGTGAGTCTTATTATTCAACAACTACACAGTAGCAGAAACCACAAATTCCCTTCCAAATAAGTTCATTCTTAAATTCAAAGACCTTTTCTATCAAAACAGTCCTTAATATATGTGACTGGGTTCATGCTGCTGTAGGTTAAATTTATTTCCTCCACGGAAATAGAGAATGACATGACATTGTATATTTAGGATATTATCAGTGAGTTCCCCGGAATGACATCTAGTCACAAGAACCCTTGCTAAAAATCTCTTTCATGTCAAAATTAATGTTCAAATATTAATTAGATAATTATAATTATATGCTAGTCTCAGCTTTCTCTTTTAAGGAATAAATCTGGTTACTTAGTCACATAGATCCCATCTTGCATTACAAGATTGTTGTTTTGAAGCTTAAGGGAAGAGTTTCAGTATCCTGTTTTAGCTTCAACATTCTGAGGAACAAATTATGAGTTCTTCACCTGGATTTCAGTTATTGATTTTCCCTGGTATTTTGGATTCAATTCTTTCTACAGTGAGACAACAAGAGACTCATTTCCCTACGATATTTACCCTTGGCCATACATTGGTTAGTATTACAGAGAAATGCTAAAGAGTATAATATCCAGCCAAAAAGTTCAACTTGGAGAGAAAAAGGCTGGAATTCTGAAGACTCCATTTGCCTTCCCTAAAGTCATGAAGAAAGGCAATGACAGCATCTTATAAATATTTCCCACTGCCATAGAACACTGATCCTGCATAGAAGTTTGGGTTTATAACTGAAATACCTCTATTTTAGGATAGAGCATCAAGCTTAACGACATAGTTCAACTGAACTGAATCATCATCAGATTTGTGACATCTTCTAGAGATGTCCAATCAAATCTGTCACTGGTACTTGTGCCTGCACCATTTTTTTGTAGTCTTCTTGATTTCCTATTTAATTATTTCAGTCTAAGAAAAACAATTTACCTTCCCTAACCAAATCAGCCCGGCCTGGCATTTAGAAACTCATTCCAAATGATCTCTTTAAAGAGACCAACGTCATACACTTTGTAACAAGTTCTTTTTTGTTTTATTCTCTCCCCTTCTATTCCCTTTGGTTTCACTGTATCTACTCCAAAATGCAAAAGTGCTTAGAAAAAATACATCTGGACTATATAGCAGGTCATCCAATTAGAATAATAGATAGCTCACTCACTAAAACATTTACCCAACTGAAGGATGCATCTAATCAGCAGGTCTTTCAATAACATATGCTGCACTGTGTGAGGGGTTACAAGTTCACAGATAAACGTGTTCTATTAAAAGAAGTATATATTTTGGAGGACAGTTTTGCCTGAAACATATACATGTATTTGGTCCTTTGAATTAATATCTTCTTAAAATACAAAATGTCTTATTTTGTGTCTAGCATATTTTAATCAGCATTATGTTTATACGCTCCATCTGTGTTGTATGTGTAGCTGAGGTTTGCTGAGGTTTGCTGATTTTCAGTGCAATAGATGGTTTCATGAAATAATTATATCACAATCATTTATCCATTTCATTCTTGATAGCCATTTATGCTACTTACAGGTTTTAGCAATTTTAAATAACACTGCTATGAATATTTTGTGACAAGTCTTGTTGCGCATGTGTACCCACCTATGTTGGAAGCAGAAAGGAATTTCAAAATCCTGGAAAATATCTACCTTTAAAGTTAATAGATTATATCAAATGGTTTTCCAAAGTGTTTATACAAAAATTTACTTCCATCAGCAGTGTATGAGAGATACTGTTGCTTTATTTTTTAAATTTTTTTTCCATATTAAAGTTTCTTTTTAGTTTTATTATTTATTTTTTTGGTGAGGTATAGTTGTTTTACAATGTTGTGTTAGTTTCTACTGTACAGCAAAGTGAAGTAGAGTTCCCTGTGCTATACAGCAGGTTCTTATTAGTTATCTATTTTATACATATTAGGGTATATATGTCAATCTCAATCTCCCAGTTCATCCCACCACCCCCCGGTTTCCCCCTTTGGTGTCCATACATTTGTTCTCTACATCTGTGTCTCTATTTCTGCCTTGCAAACCAGTTCATCTGTACCATTTTTCTAGATTCTACATATATGCGTTAATATACGATATTTGCTTTTCTCTTTCTGACTTCATTCTGTATGAAAGTCTCTAGGTCCATCCACGTCTCTACAAATAACCCAATTTCGTTCCTTTTTATGGCTGAGTAATATTCCATTGTATATATATGTACCACATCTTCTTTATCCGTCTGTTGATGGGCGTTTACGTTGCTTCCATGACCTGGCTATTGTAAATAGTGCTGCAATGAACACTGGGGTGCATACTGTTGCTTTAAATTCTTGTAAAAGCTTGGTATTGCCAATCTTTATAGCCCTTCAGGAGGGTGTTTAGTGGTATGCTGTAGTAGTTTTGATTTGCATTCTCCAATGATTAATGAGATTGCACACTTCTTGTATTTTCATTGGCCATTTTGATATATCGTGTTTTGTGAAGTGCCTGTTCAAGTCTCTTGCCCATTTTCTTTTGGATTCTGTGTTTCCCTGTATTCTGGATATGAGTCTTTTCTAGATTACATGGATTGCAAATGTTTTCATTAATTTTCCCTTCTCTCTTTATGGTAACTTCCGATACATAATTTTAACTTAGTCCAATTTCTCAATCATTTTTATTATTAATGCTTTTAGGAGTCCTGTTTAAAAATATTTCTCTACCCAAGATCATAAAAGTGCTCTTTTATGTTTTCCAGAATCTTTCATGTTTGTGCCTCCCAAAGTCTGTAGTGCACCAGCAATTGAAGAAAGGTCAAGTTATTTTTTTTCCCCATAGGGATATCCACTTGGCACTGTCCCACTTTTTGAAATGAAAATTTTCCCCACCAGTCTACAGCACCACCCTTGTACCATATAAAATTGCATATATTCATGAGGCTGCTCTGATATATCTGTTCTGTTTCATTGATTTATTTATCTTAGCCAGTACTTTCGTAATTATTCTTGCTTTATAATTAAGCATATATATCTGATAAGAGAATACCCTTTGCATTTCCAAACCAGTATCAGTTTACCAATGTTCACATAATAATAACCTACTGGCATTTTTACTGGGATTACATTGAATTTACGAATCAATTTGAGGGAATGTAAAAACATCTTTAAATTATTAAATCTCTTCATTCTTGGACATGATACTTAACAATATTTCTAGTGCTGTGAGAACTTTTCACAGGATTTATTGCAATGTATTTAAAATACTTTGATGCTATTGCAAAGGCTATATATACATGCATAAAATTTTACTTCTACTTTTTGACACAGTATCCAACAACTTTGTCAAATTTGCACATTAATTATAATAATGAATATGTGTATTCTCCCTTCCTTTTCCATTCTTTTACCTTTTAAAAAATTGCCTTATTGCACTGGCTATGATTTCAGGTATAATGCATGATAGAAGTGTTAAGAGAGTATATCTTTGTTTTAGCCTTAATCTTGGAGACAGAGTATTCAGTAGTTCACTATCAAATACAAAGTTTCCTTGATGTTTTCTGTGCCTACCCATGATCAAATTAAGGAAGTTTCTTCTAGTCCTAATTTTTTAGAAGCTTTTTTTAAAAATCATATATAGATGTTTAATTTTAACCAAATATTTTCTGTACTAATTTAGTAGATTATATATTTGTCCTTTATTTTGTTAATATGAAAAATTAAATTGGTTGATTATTAAAGGTTAAAGCCCACCTTTCCTTCCTGGAATAAAACTAATTTGATCATGATATGTCATCCTTTTTATATAATACTGAATTGGATATGCTTTTATTTTGCTTATAATTTTTGAATCTATGTTTAAAGTAAAGTTGATCTACATTTTACCTTCCTTGTAATGTCATTGTTGGGTTTAGTTTCAAAGAGTATCCTTACCTCATAAAAAGATATGAAAAGATCTCTATGTCATGGGAGTGTTATTTCTTTCTTAACCATTTGGTAGAACTAGTGAAACCAAGAAGGACTGTAGTTTTATTTGTTGAAAAAAATTATATATTCAATCACTTTAAAATTATAAGATTAGGTAGATTTACCATTTTCTTTTTTTGCTGTGTCTGGTTTATATGCATTGTTTTCTTGCCTAATATCTCTCTCTTCTCCTTTGTTTCTATTTTCGAATATGATAGACGACTCGACTATTGCCCTTAGGTTTTTAACTTTCTCTTCTGCGCAGCCCATCATTTTGCATCTCTGGGCTTTCTTCTAGCTATATTCTCCTGACACTTCTTCCAATTCATTAACCCTTCTTCAACTGTAACGAACATGAAATTACATTAATCTATTTAGAACGTAATTTTAATTTTTATTTTTTAGTTCAATAGCTTCAATTTGTTTTCTAATGTATTTTCGGTATGTATGTATATAACTCACACACCTGATTCTTATACATGCTCTGCTAAAGATCTAATTTTGTGCTTTATTTCCTTAAATATATTAAGAATAGTGATTGCATAGTTTGTGTCTGACAACTCCATTAAATGGATTCCCTGTGGATCCTTTTTTACAGTCTGTTTTCTTCTTCTCCTCCTCCTTCTCCTCTTCCTCCCCTTTCCCCACCCATTCCTCCCCTTTCCCCACCCATTCCTCCTACCTCTTCTTCCCCTACCTCTTCCTCCTCTGCTTCTTCTCCTTCTTCTTCTTCCGTCCTTTCTTTCTTCCTTCCTTTCTTTATGGCTGCATTGGGTCTTCATTGCTGTGCGTGGGCTTTCTCTAGTTGCAGCGAGCGGGGGCTACTCTTCGGTGCGGTGGGCGGGCTTCTCATTGTGGTGGCTTCTCTTGTTTCAGAGCAAGGGCTCTAGAGTGGAGGTTCAGTAGTCATGGGGCACAGGCTTAGTTGCTCTGCGGCATGTGGGATCTTCCTGGACCAGGGCTCGAACCCGTGTCCCCTGCATTGGCAGGCAGATTCTTAACCATTGCACCACCAGGGAAGTCC